AAATGTCGCACCTTCATTTCCAGTGACACAGCTCCTGCCAGAACTGTCACAGCGGTGATGCTGATGACCCACCCTGGCCAGTGAACTGGCCGACAGTGCTGGCCGTGTTGACCCAGGCGCCAGCGGTGGGGAGGACAGATCGGCAGAGGAAAGGGCTGCTGGCCTCGCTCCTCACCTCTCGTCCCATGGGGCGGAGCCACGGTGACTAGTGTGTGCTCACTGTCCCCGTGCACGGTGATCAGATTGGCTCAGAGACATGTACACAGCGATAATGAGACAAATGCCCGAGCAGCCCAACAAAGCAGTTTATTACTGGTAGAGCCAAGTCAGACTTGACCTCTTACGGCCAGGAGAGTCAGCAAATCTTGGAAAGATTTGAAATCCAAAGACAGCTGGTAAAATACAAGTGAAAATGGGACCAAGAGAGTTGCAAAGGAAAGAGGAGCGGATTTGTAAGAAAAAGAAACTTAAAGCAGTCCATTTTCACACCCAAGTAGTTAACTCTGTGTGGAAAATTACTAGCAGTTAAAGTTGACCCAAGCAAATGGGACCATGGCGGGAAATAAACTGGTAGGAAAGCTTTTTTTTTTTTTTTTTTTTGGTGCCAGGGATCGAAATCTGGTCCTTGCGCTTGCAAGACAGGCGGCGAAACCACTGAGCTAAATCCCCAGCCCGGGAAAGCTTTTATTGAGAAATGTAGGTGTGAGTGGAGAAAGGAGGAGGAAGGCATAGAGTGGTCCCTTTTCATGATGAGAGAGCTAAGGGTAAGCAAAACCACAGTAAACCCAAGGTGGCACAAAACTCTAAGCAGGCCAGCTGGGGGTTTAGCTCAGTGGTTCCACCACCTGCCTAGCAAGCTCAAGGTCCTGAGTTTGATCTCCCGTACCAAAACAAACCAAAAAAACAAAAAAAAACCCAGCTGCTTCTCAGAAAGTCCCAAAGTAGAGAACAGAGAGCATCCAAACTCGAATTGGGCAGAGGACCGGAAACTACCTTCTAAGGAGATGCGGAAACAGGCAATGTCCCTGCATAGCGCTCAGCCAGCCAGGGCCTATGGGAGGGACCTGTTGCTGGTTCTCACCACCCCAGGGGTGTGCCTGCCTGCTGGACACCCAGCCTTGAAAACCCTGGAAGCAGAGGCAGAAAGTCTGGCTCTCACTGCTCTTCACACGCCTCTGCATCCACTCTCTGAGTCTGGTCAAGTGAACAGCCACAGATGTCCCCAGGGGCAGAGTCACCCTGGTTGGGACACCTGTGGACCCTGTATCAGCTTCCGTGAGCTGGGTGGGGTAATGACCAGTGACGCTGGCTGCAGAGCTGACTCCTGAGAGCCCCAGGATCCAACACAGTCTGGGCCTTCAAGGAGTGTCCGGGGGGTGCAGACGGCCATGTTCCTGAGCTGATGCTGCAGCCTAGCTACTTCTGTTCCAGACGCTGCACCCAAGCCCTGGGATGGACCTGCCATGGGAGACATGGTTTGTCAACCACGCCGAGGGCCAGCTTTGGGGAAGAACCCTTTTCAGCCAGCAGCACATCTGAGGTACCCACTGACCTCCCAAGGCCAAGCACGTGCGTGGTGCTGGGAGGCTGAGGTAGGAGGAGATGTGAAGGGTGGAGGGGACGTCACTGTGGGGCCACAGGGTAGGAACCGCAGGATGGCCACAGGGCTGGGGCCGTGGCCACTGCTTGTAGAAGGGCGAGCCCAGAAGAGGAGACGGCAGCTCAGAGGCCGGTGACACCTGCCCAGCAGGTCCGAGGTCAGCAAAGAGCCCAGGGTGACAGGGCAGAGGGGTGGGGCCCTTCATGCCACGTTAGGGTTCTGCAGATCTGGAGAGGGGCTCTGACGTCCAGGGCCTTTCACGCCATCTCCAAGGGAATTGAGGTTCCCAGGAGGATCCCTCACAGATCCTCGAGGATTTCCGAGGGCCACGTGGGAGCACCTGGCTCACTCCTTGGGTCCCCAGGTGACTGCCTGGCTGTCACCACGGGGCGCCAGCGATTCTTGTTAGGACACAGGAGGGTGACTGCATTTGGCACCGAACAGATGAGATGGACAAAATCTACCTGGCTCTGGGCTCTGTACCTGTGATTGCTCAGAAGACCCGAGAGTCAGGGATCTGAGCACCTTGGTCAGGCTCAGCCTTCTTAGTATTTTTTTTTAAATGATATCTTATTTATTTATGGTTTTTGAGACAGGTCTTATTACGTAGTTCAGGCTGGCCTTGAACTTACTATGAGGCCCAGGCTGGCCTCCCACTCATGATGATACTACTGCCTCAGCCTCCTGAGTGCTGGGATCACAGGTGTCCGGCCCTTATTTATTTATCCTTGCAGTGCTGGGGATAGAACTCAGGAGCTCTCTTCACTGCTACACCCCACCCTGTTTGTATTTTACTTTGAGACAGGGTCTCTTGGAGTGGCCGGGCTGGGCTAAGAATTTCTCTCAGCTGAGGCCAGAGTCCTTCATATGCAGCTATCTGCTTGGCAGCGCTGGAGCTGGAGCGGGGGCCTCCTCACCCGGTGTTCACCACCAAGCCACATCCGGGTCCCCAGCTCAAAGCCGCCCCTGCGGCTGGGATGTTTGACAGACCCCGCCCCCCATCACCACGGCCACGGGCGCCGCGGGGCTCCGAGGAACCCACTCATTAACCACACGAGGCTGGAGGCGGGCAGCCCCGGGAACGCACACCAGGCTGGGTGGCTGACCTCGCTCGGCCCGGCCCGGGGTCCCCAGCGAATGGCCACTGTGACCGCTCCCGCTCCCGCTCCCGGCCACACACGGGTCGGTGCTGACTCCCAGGGGGCCGGGACACTGCAGAATCGTCGCCCCTGGTCGCTACTCCAGCAAGGGGACCGTGCGACCCGAGTCACCTGGGCAGCGCTCCGGTCCGGAAGCCGCGGGCCCTCCCGCCAGCAGGGGGCAGCAGCCGCCCACGGGGCCTGCAAGGCCGGCGCTGGGGTGGAGGATGGAGGGGCGGTGGGGCCTCTGGGCCGAGCCTGGGGACTCCTGCCCGCCCGGTCCAGGCCACCAGCCCACTCCAGCCCAGCCCCACGCCCAGTGTGTCCTTCCTGCCCCCACTCCACGTGAGCACTCGCGCCGCGTCAGGCGGGGCCCTGAAAGGCTAAGGAGGAGGAGGATGGTCTCTGACGAGGACACACTCGTCACCCCAGGGGACCCCCGCAGAAACCCACGGGAGCAGCTAAGTGACCCTGACTGCACCGGTTAAATGCACTGGACAGCGGGGGACGCGTTCCTGTCACAAAGAACACCTGCTAGCTGTATGTAGTGGTGCACTCCTGTAATCCCAACACTCAGGAGGCTGAAGCAGGAGGATCCCCGTGAGTTCAAGGCCAGCCTGAACTACATAGCGAGACCCTGTCTCAAAAAAACCAAAACCCAACAACAACAACGAAACAGAGAACACCTGCTGACAGGGACACATCCGTAAAGGCCTGTGACCCACAGGATCTCAGTGTTGTGCCCTGGGTGTGTACGCTTGCCTGAGCACATGAGGAAAAGGGCAAGCCAAAGCTTTCTTTTTTCCTCAGTTTTCAGTTTAAGTTACCATGGCACCGCCTGGCCTCCAGGGCCTGCATGGCCTGCAAAGGAGGCCGCTCAGTGGGTCTTGCTATGTATCCCAGGCTGGCTTGAACTCACAGCTGTCCTGCTTCAGCCTCCGGAGTGGTGAGCTGACAAGCTTCCCCCACCAAGCCCACTTTGCGTTTCAGAAAAACAACAGAAACTTCTAGTGTAAGTATGTCCCAAATATGGCACAAAAGAGACATTCACGGGGCCGGGGATTTAGCTCAGTGGTTCCAGCGCCTGCCTTGCAAGCACAAGGTCCCGAGTTCAATCCTCCGTACCAAAAACAAAAGAGACATTCATACTAAAATAAGTATTGGGGACAGAGGTCTCCAGAGAATAGAAGTTCACAAACACACACACACACACACTCATAGTCCTCCCTTGGTATCTGTGGGTACTTGGTTCTGGGAGCCCCTCAGATGCCAAAATCAGCCGATGCTTGATGCTCATGTCCCTTATAAAAAATATGATAATTGGGGCCAGGGATTTAGCTCAGTGGTTCTGCTGCCTGCCTTCCAAGCACAAGGTCCCAAGTTTGGTCCCCAATACTAAAAAAAAAGTCATAATAACCAGGCATTGTGGCTCACACCTGCTGTACCTGCAACACTGAGGCAGGAGGATCCCAATTTTTTTTTTTTTTTGAGACAGAGTCTCGATATGTAGCCCAGGCTGGCCTTAAACTCACAGCAATCCTCCTGGCTCAGCTTCCCAAGTGCTGGGATTATAGGCATGACCCACCATGCCCAGCTAGGATCCCAACTTTGAACCCAGTTTGGGCAATTTAATGACTTATCAAGACCCTGTCTCAAAAAAGGACTAAGGATAGAGCTCAGTGTTAAGGCCTTGAGTTTGAGCCCTAGTACCACAAAAAAAAAGACAAGAAAGAAAGAAAGAAAGAAAGAAAGAAAGAAAGAAAGAAAGAAAGAAAGAAAGAAATTTTTAAAAAAAATCTATTGATTAGGGACTGGGGATTTAGCTCAGTGGTTTCGCTGCTGCTGCAAAAGCACAAGGACCCGAGTTTGATCTCTGGTACCAAAAAAAAAAAAAGAAAAAAGTCTACTGATTTTGCCAGGTGTTGTGGCCTGCACCTGTAAGCTCAGCACTTGGGAGGCTGAGGCAGGAAGATTGCTGCAAGTCCCAGGCCAGTGTGGGCTATATAGTGAGTTTGAGGCCAGCTTGGACTACATAGAGTCCATGTCTCAACAACAACAACAACTCTATTCAATATTTATTTATTTTTAGTTTTCATTTTTTTGCAGTGTCAGAATCGAACTCAGGACCTTGCGCTTTCGAGGCAGGCTCAGCGCCACTGAGCTAAATCCGCGGCCTGGAATTCAATACTTTTTTTAAAAGGGGGGGACCTGGAGATGGGGGAGAGGGGAAGAGGAAGTAAAAAGGACCAAGAGGCCATATGTCTGTGTAGCAACTCCCCACAATGCATGTATTTATTAGGTATTGCAAACATACATGAATAAAATTTTTTTAATTTAAAAAAAGGGCAAGAGAGTTCAAAGCTATAAGGACACTATGTGGACATCAGAGCCAAACCAACTGCTCTGTCTTGTCCTCAGTTTAGCTCAATATGTGACATCCCAATGTCCCTGCCCTGATCAACCTGTGTCACTTCCCAGGCGGAAGGAACTCTGCAGATGGGGACACCTGAAGGGCACTGGGGGAGTCATCCTGACCACTGGGGTCCCAGGGTACCCCAGATCCCCTGAGAGGGCGCGGGAGGGTGAGAGGCAAAGAGAGGCTGAAGACACCATGCTGGTGGCTCTGCAGATGGAGGATGGGCCACAGGCTGAGGGCTGTGGGCGCCTCTAGGAGCTGGGATGAGGGCATGAGTTCTCCCTGGATCCTTAGGAGGAGCAGCCCTGCGGCCCAGGCCTGGACTGCAGCCCTGTGAGGGACAACTGTGGATGTCTTTGAGCCCCTGAAGTTGTTCCGGGACCTGGGGACAGCGGGGTGTCCTGTGGGGTGGCGAGGAAGGGGCGGAGACAGGGAGAATCGAGGAGATTCACCAGGTTGTGAGTCAGAATGTGAGAAAGTCGGTGGGGGGGCTCTTCTTGGGTTTTGGGGCTGGGACGGGATTGCCCAGGCACAAGGGGGCAGGTGACCCTAGCTCAGAAGCTCTCCTGAGGGCAGCACACTGCTTTCTCCTCCTACGGGGCCTCCTGGGGACAGAGGCCCCCTCCCTCAGACCAGGATCTCACTGATCCTGGCAGGCCCGGGTTCTGGCGGCCAAGGCTGGTGCGGGGCTGAGTCCCTGTCACCCACACCCTGTCTGTGCCTTCACACCAATAGCCCCGTCTGCCTGCTGGGAGCAGGGTCCCATCCTCAATCCCTGTGCAGAGGGGAAATGGAGGCCAGACACTCAGAAGACCCCAAGGTTACAGAGCAGCTGGGAACAGAGCTGGATTCAACCCAGCACCCACGCTCTCCGGGTGTGAGCCTGGTGCGCAGTCAGAGCCCAATTAATGACTCTCCAACCTCCTCTGTCACCACGTGTGTGTGCTGGGGATGCAGCAGGTGGTTAAGAAGCCCTCCAGAGGCCTGAAGCAGCCCCTCACACACTCCATAGGCCTGTGCACGAGCACCAATAAGGCACCTGCTGTATGCAGGACTTGGGAGCGCGATCCATGCCTGGCACCTGGCAGCTGTCACAGGGGTCGCGGTCACAGGGGTCGCGGTCCAATGGGGCAGAACCTGAAGAGAACTGAGGCAGACTGAGGCAACTTGGTGCTTCTGCACACCAGGCCGGGCCAGCTGGGAGATCACAAGGTTTATTTCTGGCGGACAAGGACAGGCTTTATGGGTGGAAGGCAAAGGCCTTGGCAGCCCCAAATCTCGGCCTTTTTCCTGCCAGGTGAGGGACCTGAGTTCTGTGCCCCACATGCAGGGCACACCATGGTCTGGTCTCCCTTACCAGCCCCAGAGCATGTGGCAAAGTCTTAGAGGAAGAAAGAAGCTGGGGGTGGCGGTGCACGCCTGTCATCCCAGCACTCAGGAGGCTGAGGGAGGAGGATTGCTGTGAGTTTGAGGCTGGACTAGGCCACATAGCAAGACCTTCTCCAAAAACCAAATAAAACAAACGAAAAGAGGCAAGAAGAATCAGCAGGGATCTCTTTTTCAGTCCCAGCCAAAGACCCTACAAACAGAAAAATGTCCCCCAGGAAAATAAAAAGTGGCAGAGAAAACCCTGGAGTCTACCGTGTACTCGCCATGGACCGTGGGCATGCAGCTCCAGGTCCTCTGATTGTGAGTTTAAATGGGGACCGTGCGCCCTGGTGGGTGGGGGCTCCCTGACAACGTGGCAGCTGCTGCAGGGCAGTACAGGGCCCAGGCGGCTGTCCTGGACCCAGGCTTAGTCCTCATCCTCGCTGGTGTAGATGCCGGCCTCCCAGCGCCTGGCCATGGCATTCTTGTGATGAGTGACCCGTGTGGCTCCCAGGATCTGCACCAGAAGAGACACAGAGCACACTCAGTGTTCTCACCACCCCCAGGCTTCCCTGCCCCGGCCTAAAACAGGGGTGAGGAAGGACCACCTCCTCCTCCGTTTCGGACTTTATTCTTAGTAATAGGGCAAAAGAACTGCTGAATTGTTCTAAGCTCCAGGCAGGGAAAATACCATTTATTTATTGGTACTAGCAATTGAACCCAGGGCTTTCACACTGAGCTACATCTTCCGGCTCTTTTTAAATTTTTTATTTTGAGACAGGGTCTTGCTGAGTCACTAAGTTGTCCAGTTGGCTCAAATTTTTGATCCTCCTGCCTCAGCCTCCCAGAGTACTGGGATTATAGAAGTATGCACCACTGCATCTGGCTGGATCTGGCTTTTTGGACTCAGCCTAAGGAAAACTACAAATCATCCCATGAATTGACTGAGGTAGCTGGGTGTCCTTGTCTAGTGAGGTGTCACCTGTAATCCCAGGCACTCAGGAGACTGAGGCAGGAGGATAATAAATTCAAGCCCAGCCTGGGCAACTTTTAGTGAGACCCTGTCTCAAAAGGCAATTTTAAAATAGGGCTGTAGGTGTAGCTCAGTGGCAAGTGCTTGCTAGTCCATGCCACAAGGCCTAGGTTCCATCCCTAGCACTGCAAAAAATAATTAAATAAGCGAGAAGTGTCCTTTTTTGGTCCTAATCTGCTTTATAACCACCATCTGGCAAAATGGATTCTCTTGGTGTAATTGGTGCCATGGCAGGCATCACAAGCAGATCCTAGCAGAATCTAACTCAGCAGCAGGCATCACAAATGGATCCCAGCAGAATCCACCCTGGGCAGACATTACCAGTGCAGAAGATACCCAGAACTGTCCCACACCTGAAGGAAAGGCTGTAGAGGAAAATCCTGGGTCCCCCTGCACCCCAGGAGCACTCACCTCCAAGTTGATGCCGTCTGAGGGGTTGATGCCTGCATACTGTGGGAAAAGGACAAGAATCAGCCCTGTCCTTCCTGCCCTGTGCCAGTGCCCACCCAGATGTCCAAAATATAGCTGAATGTCTACTGAAGGCAGGAGGGAAGATGTCTCCTGTCTGTGGGGCCTTCCCAGCATCCCACAATCACCCCCACACTGTCCGCTCATGACATTTACCGTTGACCCTGAGATGACCTCAAATGGGGACAAAGACCCCTGCTTATGTGGCTTCTCTGAGAAGAAGCCCAGAGATAGAGTTGCCTGGTTTATGATTCTGTACTTCACATGTGGGGAAACTGAGGCACAGCACAGAGAGGGACAGTGATGATGCCAGTAAGCCCCAGGTTAGATCTGGGGCTCCTGTGACCCTCCTGATGCTCCTATGGGGGCTGCTGGCCTCGGGGAGGAGGAGGACAGCCTCTGCTCACCCACTGTCCCTTCTTCCTGTGCCCAGAAGCTCCGTCTGTTGGGTCCTCCACTGTCCACACCAGGCCTGAGTGCAGGTGGATGGGAGTGAAGATGGATGACTCAGACACTGAGTAGCTGCCTGTGATGCCTGTGAGGGGTGGGAGAAGGAAGGGGCATTGGAGAATGATTTCCAGACCTCAGCCCTGGAGCTACAGGGGTCCTGGCTGAAGCACTGGAACCATCAATGGACAGCCAGAGCCGGCAGCTAGTTGTGACAGATTGACCAAAATAGCCAGTCAGGGAAAACTGGATAGACAGAAGGTGAAAAATACCAAGCTACCCTGGAGGATATTTCATGTTGACAAAGAAGTGCCATTGACCAAGAGGTTAAACATCTGCAAATTGCTATGCAACTAATAACAAATTGCACAAATCCATAAAGGAAAAAACCTAAGGCAGAGCTGACATTCCTCCAAAATCTACAGCTTAAGCAACTGATGGAGGAGCAGGACAGACTGAGGAAATGCTTGCCCTCCCTGATACTACCTCCCTGTCCCCTTGCTCCAACCGAAGTCATAGAGCAGAACAGCCATTCCTGGCCCCTCCTCACCAGATGCCCTAGAGGAGCTCCTAGAGTCTTGCTTACAGCCCTCGTCCTCTGGCGTTGGGGAGAAGACTTCAGGGAAGAAAGCGCTCCTCCGCTGCTCTTCCACCTCCCGCTCCCTTCGAAGGACATCCTCCACCTCCCTCTCCAGCAGGTCAGACGATTGGGACCTCTTCAGCCTCAATGCTGGGGCCCCGGCCACCTCCCAGCCCCAGACATGGGGGGTCTCAGCCTGATGCTGCACATCTGGGACCCTGAACTGCAGGGGTCGCAGGCGGAAGTACTCCCGTGGTACCATGGTCTGGCTGGCTTGCAGGTCTCCCAGAGGGAACTTTGTGCTCAGGGGTTTTCCAGAGGATTCTGAGAGAAGCCTCTGAGACCTTGTGGACTTAGGAGAGGCAGGGGGACCGCTAGGCTTGCGGTATCCCCAGCAGGGTGAGAACTCTGGCTGAGGGGTCCCTCTGCCCAGGTACGGCTGGTAGGCGTCGGGTGGTATTCGGTTCACCTTCCTTGTCTCTGGAGCTGGGTCGGCTGCCCCGGCATCTGGCATGGGGTCAAGGATGGGGTCTGAGTTCGTTTTCCTCCCAAATGCAGGCTGGGGGTCCTCGGAGACCCAGTCAGGTGTGGACGCCCCACTGGCCTGCAGGCCCTTCCGCCTGTGGTCTTCCACACGCTGGGTCTCCTGCACCATGTCACGCTGCACATACAGGGATGGGCGGCCCCGGTCCCGCCGAGGGACCTCGGCCAGGTTCACCTTGGTCAGCAATGGCCGGGTGAGGATCTCCACCAGCTCCTGGTGGCTCGCTGCCCGCCTAAGTCCCCTCTGCTCCCGAAGGTCTGCCTCGCGCTCCTGGGCCAGCCGGATCTCCCGCTCAATGGGTGTCTCCTTGAGGGGCTCTGGGGACCAGGACCCAGGGTCATCTGTGGCTTGGGACCAGAGGCGGGAATCATTCATGGTTTGGGATTGGAAGCTGGGGTTGTCTGTGCCTTGGGATCGGAAGCTGGCAGAGTCGTTGGCAGCTTGGGACCGGAAGCTGGAGGAGTTGTTGGTGGCTTGGGACCAGGAGCCAGAGTTGTCCATAGCCTGGATGCTGGGCCCAGTAACAAAACCACGGACCCTCTTCTCCACCACGACCACCTCCTTGTCCTGGGCTGTGGCAGAGACAGTGTACCCGTTGGCCAGCTGGGGCTCATTTGAGGCCTTGGAGGCCTGGATGACACCCAGCTGAGCAGGTGCAGGGAACACTTTGGCCAGGGGACTCTGGGGGACTGACGTCCTGTTCATGCCATCCTGCTCCAGCTTCAAAAAGCGTTGCCTAGCAGCCAGGAAGTCAATCTGCTCCCTGTCGATCACGTCTTCCTCCTTCAAAGGACTGGACTGAGGGTGGCCAGGTGGCCTGGGGTCCCTGTGGTCAGGGGTGCCACGAAGCGTGGCCACCGTGCTGCCTTTCCTGACCACCTGCCCCTGGATGACTGCCCAGCGCTCGAGCTCTAGGTCCTGTGGCTGCCTGGGTGGGCCGTGTCTGGCATCTAGGAGATAAACCTGCATCTCCTTGTCCCTGTCCTTCTCTGTGTGGCTGAGGGCAGCATGCCTGCCACGGAACACTCGTGTCTCTGTCTTGTCCACCTGGGCCTCCCAGTCTGTGGGAAAAGCTTGAGGCTTGTCTTGACCCCAGCCATTGTCCTCCGGCCTCACACCCACCAGCTCAATTGTGTAACTGGCGTCCCCATCCAGTGCCAGCCCAGTGACGTGAGCTGGGTGTGAATGACTAAAGATGGGGTATCTGGTCACGCGGTCCATCTCCTCAGGGGTCTTGGCTGACCTTTCTTCTGTGGGTGAAGACCTCCAGGCTCACTGGGGAAGAAGGAAGTCATGGACCCAGGTCAGGGAATGTAGGGACAGGGACAACTCCCAGTCCCCCAAAAGGCAGTCCCACCCATGTGACCTCTTGATGGGTTGAGGGATGGGCAAATGATCCTGCCCAGCCAATCACAGCATTCCACTCTCAGACCCAGGCAATCACAACAGTCCACTCTCTGACCTCTGTGACTGGTTGAAGGATGGGTAAGTAACCCTGCTCAACCAATCACAACATATCTGACCTAGCCTAGCCAATCACACTCTTTTACCTTCTGGCCTCTGTGATTAGCTCTGAGATGGGTAAGTGACTCAGCCTGGCCAATGACATGAAATCTTGGAACTTTGAAATTAATGCAGTTAATTAATTAATTAATGCAAGTCTGGGCGTGGTGGCACACGCCTATAATCCCAGCACTTGGGAGGCTGGGGTAGGAGGATTGCTACAAGTTTTTTATTTATTTATTTTTTTTGGTACCAGGGATAGAACTTGGGTCCTTGTGCTTGTGAGGCAGGCAGCAGCATCACTGAGCTAAATCTCCAGCCCCGATTGCTACAAGTTTGAGGCCAGCCTGGGGTATATAGTGAGTTCAAGACCAGCCTGAATTACAAAGCAAGACCCAGGGCCCGGGATTTACCTCAGTTGGTGCTGCCGCCTGCCTCGCAAGCACAAGGTCCTGAGTTCGATTCCCAGTACCAACCACCCCCCCAAACAAAGCCGGACCCAGTCTCTAAACAAAACAAAACAGAAGTAATGCAATGAATGCTTTTAGGCTGGTGGGACAAAGTGGAAAATTACTGGGGACTGTTTGTGCCACCTGATAGGCACAGCTTACTTGAGAATAACCCCAAACCTGGTACTGGGGGCCCAACATTTAAACTCCTGGATCCAACCGTACCTGAAATCCTGTGTATCCCTGTTAGTGACATGGCGCTCCACTGTAGGATCTCACATTCTTGCCTGACTACACCCAGCTTCTTGTCCCCAGCCTTTGCTCCCTGACTCATTGTGAGGTGTCTCTGAGATCTGCTCACTCCAGGTTCACTGATGGCCCCAGTGGGCCCGAGCCCTCCCTGCTGAGGGATATCAGGTGGGAAACAGGCCTGGAGCTAGGCAGGTTCTCGGTCCCCACATCCTTCACAGCACAACACCTGGACAGCCTTGGTGCCGGAAAGCCTGGATGGGCTGGGAACACCTTGAACCTTGTCCCTGGGCCCAGGCGGGACTGCAGAGCGTCCAGGAGACGCCCTGACCCAGTGTCTTCAAGCTCACACCCTGGCTCTCCCAGGGTACAGCGCTCAAGCCCCACCCAGGGGTCAGGGTCACCCTCTGGCCTTGTCACCAACCCTGGCCTCTGCCAGCACTTCCACCTAGCCAGGGAGCCCCCAATTCCCCTCCCTCTGAGCCTCGACCTGAGCCTCTCCCATGCTGGGCTTCATGGGACGCCGAGCATTAGGCACTGACAGACAGGGAAGGGGCTCCAGGGCCGCAGATCTCCAAGCTGGATCGTCCCTGGCACACTGGGGTCCATGAGGCCCTCTGTGCACATCCAAGATCTCTGCACCAGCTCAAGGCTGACACTCCATTCAGTTCTCAGAAGCAGAGCAGGGCCCCTGGCTGAAGCTGGGTGTGGTGGTGCACGCCTGTGATCCCAGCACTCTGGGAGGCTGAGGCAGGAGGACTGCAAGTTCAGCTTAGCCTGGCCAATTTAGCAACTTAACCAGGCCCTGTCTCAAAATAAAAAATAAAAGGGTTGGAAATAGAGTTCAGTGTGAAGGCCCTGGATTCAAACCCAAATACCCAAAACAAAACAAAACATAAAAACAAAAACAAATACAAATAAAAAGAAAGAAACAAAGAAACAAAGAAAGAAAAGAAGTCCTGCCTGGACCAGAGTGTGGCATCCAGCAATGCGAAGCCATGTCATGGGGACAATGTTCCAACAAGCATGGCCAGACAGTGTCACGCCACCTTTTGTGTGTGTTTTTATTTGTGTTTGTATTTATTTAGTGGTGTTGAGGAGGGAACTCAGCCTCACATATGCTGGCCAAGCGATCACCACTGAGCTCCATCCTCAGCTTTGATTGATTGATTGATTGATTGATTGATTTTGAGGCAGGGTCTTGCTGTAGCCCAGGCTGGCCTTGAACTTGCAGCGATCCACCTGCCTCAGCAGGTGTGCACCACCACTCTTGGCCTTTTAAAAAAAGTTTTATTTTGAAACAGGGTCTCACTAAAGTTGCTGAGTTGCCCAGGCTAGGTTGAATTTGTGATCCTCTTGCCTGGGATGACAGGCTTTTGGGTAATACTACAATCAAAGATATTCACCCCTCTAGGATCACTGCCCAGCACCCCACTCCACCTGGGCCCTCCTGCAGGCCAGAGCCTGGTGTAAGGCAGGCACTTCGTGAAGACTGGCTGACCTGGGCATGGCGGCACATACCTATCATCCCAGGAGGCTGGGTGGCTGGGGCAGGAGAATTGCAGGCTGGAGCCCAACCTGAACAAATGAGTGACTTAGTGAGACCGTGTCTCAAAATTTTAAAAATGGGAAGGCTGGGGGTGTAGCTAAGTGCAGAAGCCCTGGGTTTCATCCTCAGTGCAAACAAAGAGACCAGATGAACAGATAGCTCCTCCACATAGCCTGGTGCTCAGACCTGGGGCTGCAACTCCGCTGTCCCTCCAGCCTTGAGCCCCTCCGTGCCAGCGCTGGCCGAAGGGTCTATCTCACTGTCCCCACACCCTAGGCCAGGCTCAGGGGTCACCAGCAGGCGTGCCTGCCTACTGAGTGAACAGAGGTTTCCATCATGGGATCTCTAACCTGGGGACTTTCACTCCTGCCCAGCACTTGTGGGTGTGGGGCTGGGGCTCCCCTTGGGTGGGTCCAGGGTGGTGGTGCATCTTCCTCCCCAGCCCATTCCTCGGTGGTGACTCACTGAGGCCATGGGAGTGCAATTCCGCGTCTTGGGTTCAAGGGACTGGGACCCCCTCAGCTGGGACCTGAGCAGATTCACCCTGCACCTGGTAAACAGCAGCTCAACAGAAGCTTGTGTGGGGCTGAAGACCTTACACTTACACTTGGGGTCCTCAGCTGATCTGGGGTGGCCTGGGCAGATGCCTCTCTTGTGAAGGTATAGGGGACAATGCTCAGGGCCCTGGGAGCCTGTGTGATGTCCAATTCAGAGAAGCCTCAGGGAGGAAAATGGGCCTTTGAGGCCTCGAGGGTAGAATTGCAGCTGATGGTGGCTGATGGCGGGGGCCATCTCTCATCCATCCCCACATGTAAACCAGTCCCACCATCTTCTCCTTCCTGCCTTGCTGGAGCCCACAATTTTTTTTTCAGGGCTGCTGATGGAATCCAGGACCTTGTGCATGCAAGGCAAGTGCTCACCACTGAGCCCTTTTTATTTTTCGAGACAAGATCTCACTATGAATTTGGGGTCCTCCTGCCCCAGGCTCCTGAGCAGCTGGGATCACAGGTGTGCACCACTGCACCTGGCTCAGGAGGGAACATCATCTACTCGGTTTACAGCAGAGCAATCTGCAATCCCTTGAAGGGAAGCTGACCCCACAAGTCACAGATCCCAGGCCAGCACCACCCCGAACCCAGGAGCCTCCAGGGCTGCTCCTTCGGCCCCACCCTCCGGCCTGTGGCACCACAATGAAACTGTTTATGGCCCTCTTGCTGAACACCTGCTCCCTTTGCCTGGCACTGGGCTCCGCCCATGGGCAAAGGCTTCCGGGATGCCATGGTCACCATGGGGAGGGCTGCGGGATCCCTCATCCTGGGGGTGGGGGTGGGCATCACTGGGGCGCCTGGTCCTGGGGAGTTGCAGACCCTGGGCCAGGACCCCAGGTTCAGGCTGGGCCCTCTCCATTCTGCCACCCCACTCTATGTGCCCAACCTGGGCCCTGGCCCTCGGGGAGGGGGATTTATCGTTGAAGCCACCACAAAGTCTGTCTCCCCAGAATTCCCAAAGACAACAAGGGCTTTCAGGCCCCCTTTTGTGAACATCGGAGCTGGGGAGTCGGAGCCTTTGGGGTTAAACCCAAGTGCCAGCCAGGGCTAGGGGCTGGGAGAGACCCCAAGGCCCAGAGTGAGGCTGGGGTGCAGATGCCAGCCAGAGACCCCGGCTGGGCCCAGCGTAGGACAGCAGAGGATTGGGGTCCTGGGGGCCCCTGAGGGCAGCTCACTGCTTCCCAACCCCCAAGCAGAGGAGCCCCCTCCCCACGCACCAGACTCCCATCCCGCCCCAGTCCTGTCCAGCAGCCCCAGCCTCACCGCCAGCTTCCAGCAGCCTCCTGCTCCGGCACGGCCCGCCCACTGCCAGGGAGCAGGGGCCCCACGGATCTCTGGTCCCCTCAGCCGCACCCAGCAAGGGAAACAAAGTCCAGAGCGGGAGGAGGAGAAAGACGATACCTGGGCTGGGCGGAGGCGGGCACCGTGCCCGCGCAGCCAGAACTCAGCCCAAACTCCTGCAGCCACTGCCTGGCCCTCCCACTGCTCCCCAGCTCTGGTCAGAGGGACACCCCAGGCCAAGGTCACAGCCATCCCGAGTGGGGAAACTGAGTCCTGGCCCCTGTGTGGCTGGCCTGGCCTGCCTGCCTGGCCTCTGTCCAGATGGGCGGTCAGCAGGTCTGGGATGGAACCTTCCGATCTTACTGAGCCCTGTTTTTATTATTTTTATTTTTGGGGGACAGGGACTCTCTATGTAGCCCAGGCTGGCCTCAAACTTTTGGTGATCCTCCTGCCTCAGCTTCCCGAGTGCTGGGATTACAGGCCTGCACCACCACGGCCAGCTCTGAGCCCCATCTTCTTGTTCTAGAAGTGGGGGCAGCACCCAGGCACCCCCTGGGGTTGCAGCTAGAATCCCACAGATGCCCAGCTGTCCCCCATCCTAGGTCTCAGAGCAGGCACTTTTTGGGGTTCTGGGCAGCCTGGGCAAAGGCTGCACACGGGGGCGTGCAGCTGAGGGGGATTCGGGCTTCTGTCCCCACTGGGGCTCTGCCCTGCCCTGCCCTGGAGCTCGCTGTGGGGCCCCTTGGAACCTCTGTCTCTTCTTCCGGTACAGGTACCCCCAGCTCCAAATGCAGGTCAAGGACCCGGCCCAGTGTGTGCTGCTGAGGGCATCCAATCCGGCTGGAGAGATGGGACCCGTGACCCCGGCTAGCAGACACGGAAACTGCGGCACAGGAAGCTTCTCATCCCAGTGATCATGCTTGGATTTGAAGCTGAGTCCTCCTCCTCCTCTTAGCACCCCACTGGACTACAACCACACTTGGGGAAACTGAGGCCTGGAACGGTCAGAGACTGGAACATCTGGTGTGCTGGGGACACAAGGTCCTAACTGTCCTGCTCCCAGATCAGCACTACCCCCTCACTCCAGGTTCCCAAACCTCATTTTATAGATGGGTAAACTGAGGCCCAGAGAGGCAGCAGATATGGACCTGGGGGATCCCTAAGAGTGGAGCAACCCCAAAGTGTGTGCTGCCCAGGGTGCAAGAGACCCTGCCTCCCAAGGGCTGTAAGCCCCAAAGGATGGGGTGTGGTGGATGTGGGACTCAGGGCTCCCCAGGAAGCAGCGATAGAGGCCAGCCACCCCACAGCTGCCCCATGCCCAGCCTTACCTGCCCAGGTGCTGCTTGGGAGCAGGTGGGAATCAAGCACTGCCTCCGGTGCCTTGCAGCCTCCGCGATCCCAGGAGGCAGGGCTCAGCCTCTGCTTTTATGGCTGCACCGCCAGCAGTCCCCACCCCACCTCTGGCTGGGCTGCACCCTCCCCATCGGTGAAATCCAATTACGCCAGGAACTGGGCTCTTCACACTTTTATTTGCTTCTCTGGGAAAATCAAGAACATCAGGGCCTCATCACACATTGAAAGCAGAGGGGCAGCAAGGGCACTTCAGCGAAGGCTCACGGCTCAGGGACTCGGGCAGACTCGAGGGAGGAAGTAGAGGGGTCCCATGGCTACTGCCCAGGTCACCCCCAGAGGGCCCCTCCTCCCGGCCACGGGAGGGACAGAACCTCGACAGCGACCCCTGCTCTGGTCCGGGGGTGGCAACTGAACTTGCCCTTGTGGCCGTGGGTGGTGACCCCGCCACAAGGTGGCCTTAGCCCTGGCCACCAGGCCCCTAGGGACCAGGCCAGGTCAGGATCCAGGGTCCAAAGCCAACCCTTAAGAGGGCTTGTGGGCCTTTGCAGAATGTGCGGCTGGGGATAATGCGGCTGCCCTCAGGCAGGGACCCCCAGGCCACCTCCGGTGAGAGGGGCCTGCAATGTCGCTCCAGGTGACAAACAGGGGTCTTGCGCACCAGCCCAGGGGACCTCCCTGCCCAGAAATAATCCCAGGCTGCCAGAGCAGGCTGGTGGGGCCTGCTTTCTGGGGGCACCCGGGGCCCAGGCTGGAGAAGAGGCCGGGGATGGCCCGTAGGGTCCCCAAATTAGCACCAGGAGGAAGAGGGGGCTGGTGGGGACAGGAGCTTGGGACAAGAAGCAGCTCCAGACCCCAGTCCGTGGCCCCGTCTAGGGCACAACCTGGGGCTGCCAACACCTTCCAGGCGGGGACACAGCCCCAGGGCTCCCCCTGCTGTCGCCCAGCGGCCCGGCCCACAGTGGGGAATGCAGCGAGCTGGGGCTTTCCAGAGCAGCCTGACCTCCGTTCCTTAGAGAACTGTGGCCTTGTCGCCAGCTGCCCAAGCCCGGGAGGCCAGTGCCTCTGCCAGAGACCCCTGGACTCCAGGTCCCCTCGAAGAGAGACCATCGGAGGTGGCAGAAAGGCATAGGCTTGGCCTGGGGCAGCAGGGAGGCCGTGGGCCACACCAGCCAGGCCACAGTGGCGCCTGTGAAGCTGCCCGAGTTGGGGGTGAGGGGCCCTCGTTCTGGGAAAGCAGGTAGCCTGTGTCCCTCCCACCAGGTGCAAAGTGCACGGCTCAGAGGTGGGGTGGGTGGGGTGTGGTGACAGGCGTGCGGGCGGGATCCCAGTTCCTCTCTTCAGTGGGAAGAAAACTCAGGGGCCAGGTGCGAACGCACGGGCGCGCGTGTCTCGGGGCCCTCGAGGTGGAGGGCACGGGGCGGCGGGCGCTGGGAGGGGCCAGGCTGGTGGGTGTCTGTGTCACGCAGGGCAGGGGCCAGGGTCTCGGGGGGCCGGGCCGGCTCACATGACTGAGCAGCATTTACAGCGTTGCTTTTTCAGATCGAGGTCCTGGGGGTCGCTGGTGGTGGCCTCGGGCCTGGCGCGGTCCTCTTCCCTGGAGCTCGGGGCAGCGGGGGCTTCGGGCGCACTGCCGTTGGGCGGCGCGGCCTCCGTGGGCTCAGCCGCGTCCTCGATGACCACCAGCTCGGCTGTGATGGTGTCTTGGAGCCCCAGCACCTTCTTGGTCTCGGACTCGTCCTCCACATTCTGGTAGCCCATGAAGATCATGGTGACCGGGGGCTCCTGGCTGGGCTGGGCACTGGCCAGGCCTGATGTGGCCTCACCAGGCTGGGCCTGGACCCCAGTGATCTCTCGCCGCAGCGGCGTGTTCCGGACGGTCTCCTCCACCGCCACCGCCACCGCCGACCCCCGGGTCTCTGCCGCTGCCCCGGCCCCGGCCCCGGCCTCGGCCTCACTCAGGGTGACCTCGTCTGCCTTGTGGATGAGTTCGTCCACCTCCGAGGAGCTGAGCGGGTGAATCCCGTTCTCCACGGTGCCGTCAACGGCATGGACCACTGTGCGGGGACAGAGACAGCGTGAGCAGGGGGAGCGGGGGACCAGCCAGGAGGTGAAGAGCAAAACTACCAGGGACAATGAAACAGCTCGCCAGGTGTGGTGGCGCGTGCTGGCCATCCAGCTCTCGGGCAGCTGGGGCAGGAGAATCACTGCGAGTTGAAGGCCAGCCTGAACTATGCGGTGAGAACATCTCAAAGAAGAAAGGGAAGGGCCGGGGGTTTAGCTCAGTGGTTCCGCCGCCTGCCTCGAAAGTGCAAGGTCCCGAGTTCAATCCCTGGTACCAAAAAAAAAATAAAATAAAAAAAAAAATAGAAGGAGAAGAAGAAAGGAAAGAGAGAGAGAGAGAGAGAGAGAGAGAGAGAGAGAGAGAGAGAGAGAGAGAGAGAGAAAGAAAGCAAGAAAGCAAGCTCCCTATTGGAGTAGGGTGCAATGAGTCACCATCTGGGAGTTGCAGGGATTCTGATTTCTTCTGCTTTTCGAGTTCGTTTGGTAGTTTTGTTGTTGGCAGTACTAGGAATTGAACCCAGGGAGTACTGAGCTACATCCCCAGCTGTCTTCTTTTTGAGACAGGGTCTTCTTAAATTGCCTAGGCTGGTCTTGAACTTCTGGTTCTCCTGCTTCAGTCTCCTGAGTAGCTTGGATTACGTGTTACAAGAGTGCCCCACCGTGTCTGGCTATGTGCTAGTAGTAGGTTTGTTTTTGTTTTGTGTTTTTGGTGCTGGATTGAACCCAGGACCTTTGTACTGAGCTCCATCCCCAATCTTTATTTATATTTTACTTTGAGACAGGGTTTCCCTAAGTCACTGAGTTCCCCAGGCTGGCCTTGAACTTGGGATCCTCCTGCCTCAGCCTCCCAAGAGCTGGGATGACAGGTGTGCGCCCCACCCAGCTATTTAGTAGCCCCTGAATCACAGTTTCACTCCTGTCCTGTTTCCTAGTGACGGCCCCGCAGGCTGTGCTCAGGCCGCAGACGCCACACCACCGTGTCTCTGCCATTTATAACCTGGCCACGGGCCATGAGGACCCAGAGGGACCTGGTGGCCACAGTTATTGTCTCCTCCCGGCCAAAGGTTGCTGTCCCTAGATGCCAGCCAGGTGGAAGGAAAGCGCACTCCACTCCCGTTCCCAGATTCCCAGGAAAGCAAGCCCAAGGGAACTCTGGTGACCCAGAGGGTGGAGCGTGCCCTTCCCCAGTGGTGACTGCCCCAGACAGGAATCCGAGCCCTGGCTGCCATGGAAACAGATCACCTTTTGTTGCTAAGCAACCAGAGTCCAGTCTGACAGTCCCCAGGGGCTGGGGGAAGCCAGGCAGAGGTGCGGGTGTAGCTGGGGGTGAGGACATCGTACCCCCTGACCAGGGCCACAGAGCTAGAGCTGGGGCCCAACCAGACATGCACCCCAGAACTCCTCAGGACATCTATTTTTGTGACTTCTGATTGAACCCAGGGTCTCCTTACATTGTTAAATTGCCCAGCCTGAGCTTGAACTTGTGATCCTTCTGCCTCAGTCTCCTGAGTAGCTAGGCTGACAGGCGTGCGCCACCACGGCCAGCATGACAGGACCCCTTGAGTGGCATTATGGACCCTCCAGAAACCAATTACCTCTAAGAATATCAGGCTAAACAGTGTAAACAGTCACTATCTGACCCAGCCTCCCACCTGAGAGCAATGAACGTGGATGTCCACACATGTCCAGCATTTCAAAGCCAGAAGGGGGAACAGCCTGGTGTGCAGATGGGACACCCACTGGGATATCACTCAGCCAGTAAAAGGGAGACGCTGTGACACTTGCCACAGTGTGAATGGACCCTGAGGATGCTGTGCTCAGTGAGAGATGTCAGACACGGAGGACACAGCGTGGGTTCCATGGACAGGAATCGCCCAGGGCAGGGGAACCCAGAGACTGGAAGTGGACTGGGGAGGGCAGGGCGGGGGAGGGGGCGGGGAACCACTCATGGGGCCAGATGGGGTTTCCTTCAGTGGTGATGAAATGTCTGGAACTAGGCAGAGAGGCCGGTTGCACAACACTGTCACTGTACCCAAACTTCCTGAATCACACACTGTAAGAGGGAAATTGTGCGGGGTGTAATTCTATCTCCAGAGGCTTGAAAGCATCTGCTCAAGGCTTCCCTGCTCCTGGGTAACTGCTTCCTCATGGGCGCCCCCTCCTGGCTGCCAGGAGGCACTTTTATTTACGTCCACAGTATTTATTTTCCGCAGTGTGAATTCGGGGATGGAGCCCAGGACCTCACCCATCTGAGGCACGCCCTAGCTCTGGAAGGAGCCTTTATAACCAACTCCGTCTCCACCCATGGCTCAACTGCACCCCACCCAGGGTTCCCGAAGTCCCCAGGACATGGCCCAGTCCCAGCTCCTCCCATCCTACAGCCCAGCACTCCGCAGCCCACTACGGCCTTTGCCCGTGCAATGCCCCAATCAGAGCCCTGTTCCTGTGAGCTCCCCGGGGTCCCCATCACCTCCTCTGAGATGCCTTCTCTGCCCTCCGAAACCCAGACACCGCTCGAACTGTCCCATGTTTTCCTGGGGTCTTTATCACCACTGCAATCATTTCCATGAACCACGTGGATGCTGTTTTTTGGTTTTCTGAGAATGTCGTCCAGGCTGGCCTTGAACTCACTATGTAGCCCAGGCTGGCCTCAAACTCACAGGGATCCTCCCGCCTCAGCCTCCCAGGTGCTGGCATGGTGAGCATGTGCCACTACACCCAGCTAGCATGAGCAGCGTTCGTGTGCCCAGGACACCCTTGTGCCTTTGCCGCCTCTCGTACCTTTGGTCTCGTCCTCGTAGACCTTGATGCCCTGTGGGTGTGGGTCCCGGGGGAGCAGCGTGGTGCTGGAGAGCACCCTGGTCTCCCCGGTCACCTTGTCCTTCTCCACTGTGATCTCGACCGAATACATGGCTGGTATGAGAGGCACGGGGTTAACCGCGACCCACGTCCCCACTCCCCCCGCCGGGCTGCAGCCAAGCGGGAGGGGGGAGCCAGCAGCGAGCCAAAGCAGTGGTGGGGATGCAAATGCAGCTCCGGACACAGCCCTCCCAGCTCCACAGCCCGCTGTAGCTCCCCAGTGCCGGGCCTTGGCTTTCAAGGCCCATGCTGGTGCCCACCTCAATGCCATCGCTTCACCTCTGCATACCTGGCCTGCTAGGGCACCAAGCTCCCGCGTCTCAACCCAGGTTCTGTCCCAGCCACCTGAAGATGCTTCCTGATGCATCAGGCTCCCTCAGGGATGGCCACGAAGCCCTGTCCCCTCACGGTCCCCAACACTGTGGCCTCCTTCATGCCCGGCTCTCATCCCTGCTGGGTGTCCCCAGCACTCCACGTCCCTCTCCACCTATGACTCCTGTCCAACAAGAGCCTCAGACCTCACTCACTGTGCCCGAGCTCTCCCCGCCAGAGGGCCGCCTGTCCTTCCCCACAGCCAGTCCCCAGAGTCAATCCCTGGACCCTGCAGCAGGCATTTCCCAGTCTGTCCTCCAGCCACCACCAGAGGGCGCGGTGAGCACCCAAATCAGGTCCCTCCTCTACCCAGAGCCCTCCAGGCTCCCATCTCTCTCTGGGTCAAAGCCCAAGTCCTCCCCACAGACACCGGCCCCCGGAAACAGTTTCCTTCCTCCAGTTCTACATTCTCTGACTTACTTTTCTACATAAGTTAATTGAATAGCCAGTCACTGCCACCAGACTGAATCCCATGCCCGGCACTCAGCAGGCCCTTCATAAGCACTTGTTGAATGAATGAATGATGGTTATTTAATCCCTTGTCCTTGTGTTGCCTAACACTTTGCCCATAAAAAAAAAAATCTATTTCCGGCCTGGGGATTTAGCTCAGTGGTTCCACCACCTGCCTCGCAAGTGTAAGGACCCGAGTTCGATCCCTGGTATCAAAAAAAAAAACAAAAATCAAAACTATTTCCAAGGCTGCCTATACAGTTGGGGAGGTTGTGTACTGCACAAAGTGCCAGGAAAGGGACTTGAACTCTACTCATGCACTGTGGAAGCTTGGTGTGAAGCCCTCAAATCACTATGATGATACACCCCAGCTTGGTCACTTCCAGAGATGCTGCAACCCCCTCTCCCAAGGAGCCAGTCCTAACCCTGCGCCCAGCAGCAGGCAGGATGTGTGGCGAGTGCTCCAGGTGCGAGCCTGGAGGTCGAGAGGGAAGCTGTGGGTGTCGTGTTAGTACTGCCATGCGTGAGGCCCGTCTTCAAAGGGAAGCCTGGGCCAGCAAGGGACAAAGGTGTCAAAGCAGAGCTGTGGCCTGGGTCCAGCTGCCACCGTGTGACCTCGGCCCATGAGACCCCACAAGGGCAGGCCTGGAGGCCCTCATCCCACTGGGGCCTGCTGGGACCGAGAGGGGACCCTGGACGGCAGCTAGACACGGGGCGGGCCCCGGGGACCAACCCACCTGCCTTCATCATGGTGGAGCCATCTGCTGTCCGCACTGGGGTGTTGGAGACTCGCTGCTCTGCTGGATGGAAGAGGGGGACAGGGAGGTCAGGGAGGAGGCTGGGCTCAGGCACCAGAGCCCTGGGGACACCGGACACCACACCCGGATCCCCAGACACAGGTGGGCCCCAACACACACACAGATCCCAACACACAGTTAGACGCCAACACACACCCGACTCCCTGTGAACAGCCCGCCCCGGAAGGAAACACACTCAGCCCAACACCCCTCTCTCATCTCTCTGCCCAAGTGATTTTCACAAAATCCCGGAGAGCCCGGCCTGGATTTTTTAATTATTAATTTTTAATTTTCCAGTAAGATAAGGAGACACCTCTCGTGAATAATTAATGCTCGGCAAATCGGGCCGAATTCTCCTTAGGGGCAGCCAATCCAATGCTCAGTAAGAAATGTGACTCTGGACATGTTCAATACATATTGAAAAAATATAACTTCTTTTTGATTAATTTACTGTAGTGACCTAATGAATCTAATTCATGTATACTCATATACATGTATTTTTTTCCCTTTCTTTTGGGTTTGTTTTTTTTTTTTTTCCAGACAGAGTCTCACTATGTAGTTCAGGCTGGCCTCAAACTCATGGTGAGCCTCCTGGCTCAGCCTCCCAACTGCTAGGATGACAAGTGTGAAAAAGTTTTTCTTTTTTTTCTCGGTACCACGGATCAAACTAGGGACCTTGCACTTGAGAGGCAGGCGGCAGAACCACTGAGCTAAATCCCCGGCCCTGTGGCTTTTTTTTTTTTTTTAATTGCAGTGCTGGGGATGGAACCTAGGCTCTCATACATGTTAAGCAAGAGCTCATCACTGAACTACATCCCCGGCCCATTTTATTTTTCATTTGTGAGAGGGTCTCTCTAAAGGCTGGTCTGAAACTTGCGATGCTCCTGCCTCAGCCTCCCAGAGTGCTGGGATGACAGGAGTGCGGCACCTCAACCCATTGAGCCTGGCTTCTCAACTCATTTTGCAGTTGCCAAAGCTGAGGCCAACCTGCAAGCAGCTCAGAGCCTGGGCCGAGGATTTAGCTCAGTGGCGCCACACCTGTCTCACAAGTGCAAGGTCCTGCAAGGATCTGAGACGAAGTACCACGAGAAAAAAAAAAAAAAGCTCAAGCCAGTGGGTGTGGGAGCAACGTGGGTCATCCTGTGCCGGACCCACCCACAGCTCAGGCCGCCGCAGAGTCAGGACACCCCTGCCAGCCTCAGTTTCCTCATCCGTCACCGGGTGCTGCGGTACCCTTTACCCCAGGGATGTTGTGAAATTCAGCGAAGTGATGACGATAGCGATCCAGACTCAAATCAGGGCTCAGGAAGGAGCGCAACAATAACCATTTTTGGCCCCCTCCCTGCTATTCCCTCTCCAGCCACCAGAGGGCGCCGGCCGCGCGCCCCTCCCGGAGCCGTACCTTTGGGCGTGCCCGCCGCGGTCTGCAAAAAAGAGCAAAAGGTCAGCGCCCGCGCTCCGCCTCCTCGGCTGACCAGGTCCCCTTTCCTGGCCGAGGACGCGCCGCGGGCTCAGGAGCTCGTGGGGCCACCCTAGATGCACCCGCACCCCGTCCCCCACATCCCTGGGCTGTGTCCATGTTCAGAGAGGCCATCTCTCTCTCAACCCTGCTAGCCCACTGGAGAACTCCTATTGGACCTTCAAAGCCTCATCCTATGAGAAGCCTGGCCAACCTGTCCTGAATCAGATGCTTCCTTGGGTGGGGGCAGGGGATATCCCACAGCGCCTCAGGCCTCCCAACAGGAAGGGGTCTGCATGTCCCTAGTGTCCCCAAAACCAGGCCTTGGTAAGCAAAGAGGGTAGGGCATGAGGGGTGCCGCCTTTTCAGCTGCAGCTCATGTGGCCAGGGACTGGGCACTTCCTTGAGGTTCTCACAAGGCTGGGGTGAGCTACATCCCCAGCCCTTTCAAAATGCATTTAATTTTTTTTTTTTTGGTTTATACTTTTTTGTGTTTTTGAGACAGGGTCTCGCTACATAGTTCAGGCTGGCCTCAAATTCCCAACAACCCTCCTGTCTCAGCCTCCCAAATGCTGGGATGACAGGCGGCGTGCATCACCACGCCTGGTGCTCCTGCGCCTTACAGATAGGGAAAATGTGGCCCAGAGGCACAAAGCAACTTGTCCGAGGAAACACAGCACCTGCTCTCGTCTTGGTTAGGAAGGGGTGGGGTCTGGCTCGGGGACCTGCCTGCCGAAGTGACCCCCTTACCTGCTGTGAATTCAGCACCACCTCAGCCTTGGGCTCCTCCCGGGCAGGGCTGGGGGCTGGGGCTCGGGCTGGGCTGGGGACGGCTGCGTTCTTCGACGTGGCCGGGGCCACCTCTCCGTTCTCCAGCAGGTCAATCTCCTTCTCCAGCCTGGGGAGGGCGAGGGGAGGGTGGCGACCACTGCATGCTCCGTGCCTTCCTGGCACTTTCTACCCAATGCGCAGCAGTGGGGCACTCCACGTGTCCTAGAAACCATGGGCTGCTCTTCTCCTGCGGCTCCACAACTGGGAGCCGCCGGGTTTGGTGTGCCCGGCCTGTCAGCTCAGCACTCAGGAGGCTGAAGCAGGAAGATCACCATGAGTTCAAGCCCAGCCTGGACTACAAACTGAAACCCTGTCACAAAAAACACCAAACAGGTCTGGGGCGGCACGGCTGGGGCCCCGCCGGGCCAGGCCAGACAGTGTCCCGCGCAGGGTCTGGGACGGGGTGGGCCCAGGCCTCTCTGTGCCCCAGGCTGGAGCAGACACCGCCTCTCTCCTCTCTCCAGCGTCATTTCCCTCCCTCTGCGGTGACCCTGCTGCCCCGAGCTGGGCCTGGGCCTCCCACCCACCCACCAGCCCGGAAACCCAGGCGTTTTGTCTCCAGGCCACTTTCCCATCCTGTCCCCTCCCCGCTTCCTGTGCCCAGCTGCTACAGCCTCCATCAGCACTGGGCTGCGGGTGCGGCCAGCTGGGCTGGTGCCAGGAAACCCCTGGGGAGGCCGAGGCAGGCTCCTCCCCGACGCACAGGCCTGCCCCACACACCTGCCATCCAGAGAGGAAAGGGGTGGCCCAGGGCTCCCATGGGGACCAGGTGGGACCAGAGCCCACCCCTGGGCACGCCATGCCCCTGGACAAGCCCCACCACCCACCTGGAGATGGACCCCTCCAGGAGCCGGGCCCTCTGCTCGTCCTCCTGCATCTGCCTCCGCATGTCCTCATCCCCCTCCGAGGCTGAAGACGGTGTCCCCTCCAGCAGCCAGCGTTCCCGCAGAGCCTTGGACTGGGCACAGGGATGCAGGTGGGGGTTAGATTTGGGGCTTTAAGCCAAGCATGGTGGCACATGCCTGTGATCCCAGTACTCAGGAGGCTGAGGCAGGAGGGTGGCCCCAAGATCATCAGCCTAGGCTGCACACTGAGTTCAAGGCCAGCCTGAACTGCATACCCAGATCCTGTCTCACTGCCACAAAAAGATTTGGGGTCCTGGTCACTTATGGCCCCTCGGTGCCCCTGCGGGTCCCACCTTCAGGTGCTGTAGCTGCCGCCTGTCATCCTCCAGCTGCCGCCGCTTGTTCTCAATCTCCGCCTGCCTCTTCCGCCGCTCCTGGAGGGCAGGGGACCTCACATCAGCAGGGTGGGCACGAGCGCTGAGACCCAGACCCCAGAGCCGGCCGCGCCCTGCCCGCCCCATCCCCTGGGCATCAGGGACTCACCGCGATGGCCTGGAGTCTCTCCTGCTGGGACGCGGTGTCTGCCACCAGGACCCTGGGGATGGGACGGTCAGGTTGGCCCTCTCGCCTCTGCTTCCTGCTGGCCCCTTCCAATCCCAGCCATGCCTTCCCAACTAGGTAACGGGAGGCGGCTGGGGCTCTCCCCAACCCCAACCCCAGGCTCCTCTTCCATAAATGGACACTTCCCAGCCCATAGGCACAATGCTGCTCTCTCTCTAACTTATGCTTTATGAATTCATTCAGCAAACCCTCGGGCACCTCCCTCCGAATGGGGCTGAGAGAGGCTGGAAGGGTTCAGGAAAGAAGAGCATTAAGGCTGGGCCATAAAGAATGCATAGGAGTTCACCAGGCACCAGAGACCAGAGAAAGGGTTTGGGGAAAACCCACATCCGGCCCCTCCTGGCCCAGAGCAGAGGTGGACTGAGACAGCCCCTCCGCATCCTCCCACACACCACGCACCTTTCTGCAGCTACAAAGGGGCACGAGGAGGATAAGGACCCCCAGGCCCTCCCAACCCAGAACTGCAGGCTCTCCGACACCATCCTGGACACCTAGGGCTTCCCACACACGACCTCCCCAGCCCCGTGGGCTTTCCCAGGGCGCACAGCAGAGAACAGCAAGGTTCGACCTGACCCCATCTCATTCAGGATTTTTTTTTTTTTCAGTCTTGGTGAATCAAAACCTGGGATGCTTTATCCCTGAGCTATGCCCCTCAAGCCTCCCTTTTTTTTTCAAATTTATTTTAAGTCAGTGTGGTGGCGCACACCATAGTCCCAGCACTTGGGAAGCTGAAGCAGGGGGATTGCTGAGAGTTTGAGGCCAGCTTAGACCACACTGCAAGACCCTGTCTCAAAAAAAAAGGAGTCTTGCTAAGTTACCCAGAATGGACTGGAATTGGTGATCCTCCTGTCTCGGCCTTCTCAGAGTGCTGGGATGACAAGTGTGCACCCCCGCCCTGCTTCATCCTGTGTCTTTTGAGAGGAAGCCCGGAACACTTCCGTGCCCAGGGGTGATGTACACAGGCACCTAGGAAACAGCAGTGTTGCCAGATGCACCCAAAGGAGACGGGGACCTCAGGCAGCGAGGGGGAGGGAAGCTGGAGAAACACCCTCCCCCACCTGTCCCTGCTCTCCCTGCGGGCAGGAGGCGGAGCTTTGGGAGCCCAGCCCCTCCCACTCCTTGGTCTTCTTCGGTTTAGGTGCTCATTAAATGTAGGCGGAGCTCGGAGTATCGGACTTCATAAAAACCAGGCTTGGGGCTGGGGATTTAACTCAGTGGTTCCACCGCCTGCCTCCCAAGCAGAAGGACCCGAGTTTGATCCCTGGTACCAAAAACAAACAAACAAAAAACCAGGCTTAATCGGGGCTGTTGGTGCACACCTGTCATCCCAGGACTCTGGGAGGCTGAGGCAGGAGGATCAAAAGTTCAAATCCAGCCTGGGCAACACAGTGACCTAGCAAGATCTGTCCCTAATAATAGTAATAACAACAACCAGGCTGAGTGATGATCTTATATAAATTCAGCCTCCAGGGACGCCAGGCAGGGAGGGGAAACTGGGCGGGGGGCGGGGAGTCCTAAGCTTAACTGGGGAGATGACCTAGGCCAGCTGCCTGGTCTGGACACTGTCACTGGGCAGGGAGCCAGGTCCAAAGGGGACAAGGACAGCCTGGTGGCCCTGGGGGCAGAAATGACAGTCTGTCCTTGGGTCCCGATGCCAGCCTCAGCATCCCTTGGTCTTGTATCCTGGAGCCCACAGCCACCAGGGCCTCTGAAGAGCTCTCCCCTTCCTGGGCCTCAGTTTCCCCATCTGCAGAAGTGAGGAGCAGCAGGCCTGGCGGTCTCCTCTAGCCCAGACACCCTGGAGCCCGCAGCGCCCTGCCTGCCCCACTTGGGCTCAGTTTCCTGGCCTCGCAGGGGCCAGGGGAGTCAGGCGGCTCCCACGCCCTGCAGGTGACCCCACTGGCTCCTCCCTTCCTGGTGGGCAACACCCCCGCATCTCTCTGCCCTGCCCGAGGGCCCCTGTGTCTTCTCCTCTTCCGGGAGGCTGGGTTCCGCTGGGTGGGGTCAGGAAAGGACTGATTCAGGGTTTTGGCTGGGAGCCAGACTGGTTGTGTTTCTGGGTTGGCACCTTTAATTTTTGTTGGTTTAGTTTTTGTTTCTGTTTTTTTTCCCAGTATAGGGGAGCCGACTCAGGCCCTTGTGCCCGCCAGGCAGGCACAGGGCCACTGAGCTACCTCCCCAGCCCTGGTTTGGGTTTTTGAGAGAGTCTTGCCCAATGGTTCAGGCTTGAGCTCACTATGTAGTTCAGGCGGGCCTCGAACTCATGGCAATAGTCCTGCCTCAGCCTCCCCAGTGCTGAGCTGACAAGCGTGCGCCTCTGCACCCAGCTGGTCTGCCCCGCTGCACGGTGCGACATCACCATGGTAACAGGGCCCTGGGCCCCTCACTCCCCCAGGCCCCTGCCACCTCCCTGGCCCCCAACACTCTCCTCCCCACCTCACCAGCAGAGGCAGCAGCTTCTCCCTGGCTCCCATCACCTCCAGGATGAAACCGCCAGCGCGGGGCCCAGCCTCGGTCCACCTCTCCCCCTCCAGCCTCCCTGTCACTGCCTCAGCTCCAGCCCTGGACCTACAGCTGTGGGGCCGGCTCACTCCGACCACAGGGCCTTTGCCTCTGCTGTTTGGCCTGCCGGGCGAATGCTCCCCAAGCTGGAAATCAGGTCCAGAGAGAGCAAGGCAGAGAGGTGGCTGAGCTGATTAACCTTGGTCAGCCTCCTTTACCAACGCCAACGGGGTCTCCAGGGACCCACTCAGGAAGGAGCCAGGCCTGGGGGGGGGCATCCAAGCACAGCACACAGGGCCACACCGGACTGGCTGCCCAGTGCCCTGTCCCCACCCCAGCGGTCAGGTGGCCTTTCAGACTGGATACAGGGACACAGGGACGGCTGTGTGTCCGGCTCCCCAGCCTGAAGACAAGGCGAGCAGTGTCCTTTGGGGCAGGGCAGGGGAAGGTCAGAGGGACACAGGGCAGAGAGGCCCCGGCCTAGGTCCCCAGTGAGGCCACCGAGAGGATGTCCCACGTTCCCCTTTCCATCTGCGACGGGGGTGGGGGTGGTCCCAGGCAAGGGGCCCGAGCTGCCTCCCTTCCCTTCCTGTCCCCTCCCCAGGTCTGGGGGCGCCAGAGCCCCGCGCTCCGCCCTCGGGCGCCGCCGCCGCAGCGGGTGATGGATGGCGGGCCCGCGGGAGGCGGTCGCCCTGGCAACCGCGCTGTCCCTATGGCAACGCGGAGGCCCCGGCACGCGGGGGTGGGGCCTGCACCGAGCATCTCCCGCCCCCGGCGCTTGGGGGCTGAGAGGCTTCTTGCCAGCTCCAGGGGCTGCCTGGGTGTGGGGAGCAGGTGCCCAGACTGGGGCAGGGAAGCTGCTTCCAAATTTTCATTTTTTGGGTACTGGGGACTAAAACCACGGCCTCGGCACTGAGCTACATCCCCGCACTTTTTGGTTTTAATTTTGATACATGGTCTGGCTAAGTTGCTAAATTGCTCAGGCTAGTTTGGAACTTGAGATCTTCCTGCCTCTGCCTCCCAGAGGCAACCAAGGTTAACACAAGAGAGTGTGCAACTTCATAAACCCCCAATAAAGCAAAATGCAGTCTTCAATTCTAATAAAACAGCAATAACGTAAACACTCCCAGAGACTCATTACTTCCTGCCGGGCACCATCAGCCCTATTTCACAGATAGGGGAAGTGAGGCCACAAGGGAGTCCTGAGTCTCGCCCGGCATTATGGTCCCTGTCCTGTGGGGCAGGGAGGGGCTTGAGCACGGTGATGACGGAAATGGGTCTCCTTGAGGTCTTGCGGGCTGGTTGGGGGGGTTGTCAGGGGAAACAGTCCATATCGCAAAAGACCTTTTTGTTTGATGGTGACTGTCTCAAGTAGTCCTGGCCTTGAACTCGCAGTGATCCTCCTGCCTCAGCCTCCCCATCACTGGGATTGCAGGCGGGCACCACCAGGCCGGGCTTCACACACAGAAAGCCTTCCAAGTGGGTAAAGAAGCTGAGTTTGGCTGAGGGTTTGGAGTACCTAGAGCACAGAGGCGCTGCCCAGGGAATAGGGGGAGCAGCCCCTCACTGCGCCAAGCATCCTGTCCTCCAGCGATTATTTTTGTGGCGCTTGGTGCAAAATCTGGGCTGCGCGTGTCGGTGGGCGGCTGGGGCCCGCGAGGGCGTCTTCTCCAGCGCGCGCGTGAGAGAATCCGGCTGCAGGCGATGAGCTCATGGGGCCGGGGACCCGAGAAGCCACGCTTTGCAGCACGGTTGTTTTTTCAAAGGTCCAGAGAGGTTACGCAACAGTCCCAAGGTCACCCAGCGGCCAGGGCGGCTGCTTGGCAGGAAGCCCTGCGTGGGGGCGGGGTCGCACGTGTCCCTCCACGCGCGGGGCTGAGGGGTCCCGGCCAGGCAGAGCCGCCCAGCTCCTGGGACGTTCCTGCTGCCGTGACCTTAGCCAGGATGGGAGTCACGCGGTGGGGACAAGGAGAGAGGGAGGCGGGGCCGCCAACCTGATCCCCACCCCTGCTGGACCTGGCGTTCTCAGAGCCCCCAATCCCACAGCTGAGCACGTGCGGGTCTCCCTGGCCCCCATAAACCCCAATCCTAACCCTGAATGTACTGCTAGGCTTACCCCTGAGCCAAACTGTGACCCTAACCCTAAAGCCTCCATCTCTGCGAATCCCAGCAAGCTCCTGTCTGTCTCCAAGGTTTACCCCTACCCCTAAAGGTAACCCTCACCCAAACCCTAAGTCCTAGGAATCGAGGAGCCTTCAACCAACTCAAACGAGCCCTGCTCAAAACCCTACCCTGGTCAGGCATGGTGGCCCACACCTCTGATCCCAAGGAGGCTGAGGCAGGAGGGTCACCAGGAGTTGGAGGCCAGCCTGGACTACATAGTGAGACCCTGTTTCGAACAACAACCCCTATCCCTAACCCTCCCAGCACCTCCGCCTGCATTTGGAGCTGCACACTGTGGCCCCTGTCCTTCAGCCTGGGAGTCCCTGACCTCCTGCCCCACACCTCTCCCAGGAAGCCCTCGGGGGCCTCCCTGGCCTTCAGGAAGGAATCCTCCTCCAGCCTCTCAGCCCTCAGCACAGCCAGCGCCTAGAACCACCCTGGTCCCTCGGGATTCTTAAAGGCTCAGAGCAGACAAGTGGCACAGCCCAGAGAGCAGAGCTGTTGCCCATTAACCTGGGAAGGGGCAGCGGGGCGTGACGGGGCCCTGTGCAGGTGGATCCCTCCTGCCCCTTGCAGACTCCAGCACCACCTGCCCAACCCTGACCACGGCCGAAAAACCTCCCAACCCTGCTCCTGGGCTGGTCCTCAAGAGCACTTTGAACTTAGGCCTTCCCGACCACCCTGACCTTCACACCCCAGCTCCAAGTACCATGAAACATCCTGGCCACGTTGGTTTTTATTTTCTTCTCCCCCTCACAAGGTCAGCACAGTGAGTTTTTTGTCCCTGCCATATCCCTAACACTAAGTACACAGGAGGTGCCCAAATGTTTGCTGTAGCATTGAGGGAATTAGGGTCCTGTTTTCAGAGAAAGCCCCTACCCACAGGCACCTCAGCCCCAGGACCACCTGCCCAGTAAGCACTCCTTTCTGACTCAGTGTCACCACTTACATTTTCTATTCTATTTATTTTTTATTTTTAGGGTGTTTTTTTTTTTGAAACAAGGTCTCAATATTTAGCCCAGGCTGGACTTGAACTTGTAATCCTCCTGCCTCAGTTTCCTGAGTGCTGGGATTATATATAGGTGTGCACCACTATGCCCGACCCCCCAGTTTACAATTACCTAAAGCAGGACCTGGACTCCACACCAGATTAGTATATATACTACCCAAGTGGCCACTGTGGGACAGGTGGACACACTCAGCAAGGTGCAGCCCCAGCATGGAATTTTTTGGGGGGGAGTACTGGGGATCGAACTTGAGACCTTGCACTTGTGAGGCAGGCGCTGCAACCACTGAGCTAA